TTAATTATAGTCTTCTCATTGGTCTCCCTGCTTCCACTTTTGCTCTCCTTTCTTGTTGTTGTTAAAGATTTGATTTTTAAGTAAACTCTACACCCGGTGTGGGGCTTGAACTCACAGCCTGAGATCAAGAGTCCCATGCTCTACCAGCTGAGCCAGCCAGGCATCCCACCTCTTTTGACTTTCCAAAACAGTAGCCAAATCATCCTTTTAAAAGGAAAGATCATATTACTCCCGTGTTCAAGAACCTAGGTGGCTCCTCATTTAACTCAGAATAAAAGCTGAAGTCCTTTGTGATCTGACTTACAAGGTCTGTGTCATATGGCAGCTTGTTACCTCTCTGACCTCATCTACTATTCTTATCCCTACCCCCGCTTTACCATACCAGTCCCCTTGCTATACCTTTTGTGTGCCATGCACACTTCTACCTTGTACCTTTGTCTTCGTTTTTCTGTTTGCGAAATAACTGCATGGGCAGGTTTCTTAATTCTTTGCTCAGATGTTATCTTCTCATTGAGGTCAGCAGTAGTTATCCTATTTAAAATTGCACCCTGTCTTCTCTCAATTCCTTCCATGTGTCCTATCCCTGTCTCCCCCCACCCCCCCGCCACACTACTACCTTTTAACATATATTATTTCCTTATTACTTTTATTATCAGTTGTTTTCTGCCACTGGCTAACACGCTATGCCAGGGAGGAATTTTGGTCTTTTATTTACTGATGTATCCAGACAAAAGGAATAGTACAGTGGTGCTCAACAAACATATGTTGAACAAGTGAATGAATCTGAGTTTGCAATTCCTGGTCTGCAGTTTGTGCTTTTCTTATTATTTTATTAATAAATTTACTAGACAATACTTTATTAGAAGTTAGTTTTATTTATTGTATATTAATTAGTAAATACATTTATAGTGTTTATATGCAAAATGCTGTTTTAAGCCCTTTATGCTTAATCCTGGTAACAACCCTGTAAAGTAGAAACTATTAGTATCCATTTTTTAGGGACAAGTAAACTGAAGCCCAAAGTGAGAGCTAGTAAGGGGGAGAACCAGGATTTGCATTTAAGCAATTATTTAGGTACTTGAATTTGCTCTTAATTATGACACCGTGCTGCTCTGTGTTGCAGATCATTTTTCCCTATTTATAATTTTCTGTCTTGATTTTGTTTTTTGCCTTCCAAAATAATAGTTAATATTTATGTAGTAAAAATAATATAGTAATATTTTCCTTTGAGGCTTTTTTGTTTATTTTTTAGAAGGGGCTTCTTGATTCTAAGATTAAACCATAAATGTACTCATTTTTCCCCCTCAGTTTTGATTTGTAGTCAAAGTTTAAGATGATCAGATACGTATTTTATATCACCTTGATAGCATCATGGAGATTTTGTTTGAGGGGCATAAGACTAAAACCTGGAACAACAGTTAGGAACCTAGTGCTAATTCCAGTAAAAAATAATTGAGAACAGGCCGTGGGGATGGATAGGAAGAGATTGATTTCAAGATATATCCAGAGGTAAAATATGCAGGTCTTTGTGACTGATTAACTGTGAATCAAAGGAAGACTGCATTAGCTCACGAGTTTCTGGTTGTGAAAGTTTGGAAGAGAGGGGGTATGTTGTGGTGCCATTTATTGGTTGAATGGATGAATTGATAGAGATGTAAAACAGGAAGGAACATAAACAGGTTTGGAAGATAAAGTGATATTCAGTTTTGGATATGTTGAATTCAGGATGCCTACTGAATATCTAATTTTCTTTCCTTTTTTTTTTTAAGAGAGAGAGCAGTAGTGGGGGTGCGGGAGGGGCAGAGGGAGAGAGAGAATCCCAAGCAGACTCCTCGCTGAGCATGGAACCTGATGTGGGGCTGTTTCAGGACCCTGAGATCATGACCTGAGCCGAAATCAAGAATCAGACCCTTAACCGACTGAGCCACCCAGGTGTCCCTAATATCTCATTTTCAATACATTCATTAGGTAGTTTGATAAATGAATCTTAGCGTCATAAAAAAAACTGGGCTACTAAGTTTAAGGAAGTGAGGTAGATGCCAGGTAGAAACTATTATGGGTCTAGGAGCTACTTTCCTGCCTTGTTTTCTTCAGAATCATTCCATTGAATGCAATATAACAGCTTGCAAAGAGCTTTAAAGACTGAAAAGATTGTATGTGTGTGATGTGTCTGATATGAATGTGTTTATAGCTATATTCATCACTCAGAAAACTTCAGATATTTTACAACTAGGAGGGACCGTAGAGGTCACCTGACTCAGGTATATTAATTTATAATTTCTGAATATTTTACTTGCATAAAAGTCAATTTGGATACTTTGTTTTTTGAGGGACTTTGAAGGTAAAGTGGCAAAAAGGCATTTTCTTAGCAGGAGGGGATATTTGAGATCAGGCAGACTTGGGATTGAATTCTGTCTGTGCCACTTTCTGGCTCTATGACCTTGGATAATTTATCTTTCTTAGCTTCGGTTTTTTTTATCTGTGGAAATAATTTTCTTTTAGCAAGGTTGAGACTCCCTTTTAGTAGTTGTAGAGACTAGAGATAATGTGTAGAAATTTTCTGTCATTTATAATAGTCTACTAAATAAACTGAACCTCTTCTGATTGTTATTTTTAGCCTGTTTCTATCCAGTGTCATACTTCTGTTCTGAAATCAGTTACTGTAAAGATAAATATCTGGATTCTAAGCTATGGTTATTTGCCGATGTTTAATGATTTGAAAGGTTCCAATATATGCATAAACATTGGTTTTTGTGTTCATGTCCAAAAAATGAGTCCTAGAGGTTTTTAAGAACAGTTAACTGACTTAATATTCATAAAAGCTATGAGATAGGCAGTGTATTATCCGCATTTTAAAGATGAGGAAATTAGGATACAGAAGGGCTAAGTAACTTACCCAAAATTATAGCTAGTGAGTGCAAAATGATTTGAATCTAGGCAGTCAGAGCTATTGTGTTATACTAAGTACTGGGGAGTAAAATTGCAGTGACAGTTTCACTTACTCTAGAGCAGTGATTCTTTGGTGATGTCTTCTCCATTCCCACCTTCCCTAGGTTTGTGTCTGCCACATCACAATCCCCCCGCCCCAATCTTTGAGAAAATGCAAGATGTTTCTGAAAAAAGCAAAAACAAAAGCCATGTGGCTATGGGAAAAATTAAGATGTGCTGCCCTCTAGTATTTATCAGAACTAACTTTTTAATTAAGCCTCTGGTAATTCTAACAAGACTTTTACATTATTGCCCCATTTAATCCTAACAGCAACTTTGCAATAACTTGTATTGGTATTCTCATTTTACAGTGAGTAAAGAGACAATAAGCTGACCAAGTTTGCACAGCTAGGAAGTGGCAGAGCTAAGTCAAATTGAGGTGCTCTGGCTGAAAATTTCATACTTTTTAAAATGCTGTGCTACAATGACTTGGTTTCCATTTATAATTAGGAAAATTCTGTTGAAAGTCAAAATGGCTTGCCCAGTGCCTTTCCCATACTGTGGATTTTAAATTTTTTTTAAAGAGAATTTTTTTTAAAGATTTTATTTATTTATTTGTCAGAGAGAAAAAGAGAGAGAGAGTGTACAAGCAGAGGGAGTGGCAGGCAGAGGGAGAAGCAGGCTCCCTGCTGAGCAAGGAGTCTGATGCAGGACTCCATCCCAGGACCCTGGGATCATGACCTAAGCTGAAGGCAGAAGCTTAACCGACTGAGCCACCCAGGCGTCCCGGATTTTAATTTTTTTTAAAAAATTTTATTTATTTGACAGAGAGAGAGCAAAAGCAGGGAGAGCAGCAGGCAGAGGGAGAGGGAGACCCAGAGCAGGGAGCCCAATGCGGGGCTCGATCACAGGACCCTGGGATCATGACCTGAGCTGAAGGCAGATGCTTAACCAACTGAGCCACCCAGGCACTGCTGTGGATTTTAATTTTTGTATTTGTTCATGATAGCACCAAATGAGAGAAAAATAAAATTAAGAAACAGAATAAATCACAGTATTAATCTTTAGGATCAATGCGATTTTTCTGACAACCTAAGGATTTGGTAATTAAGTTCATTTAAAAAAATTAAAAACACATTTTTATATACAGTGGTCAACACAGATCTCAGGTTCTCCCTAGCTCCTGCTTACCCATTAATGTAATTTTCTTTCTTTTTTTTTTTTTTTTTTAAAGATTTATTTATTTGAGAGAGAGAGGGAGAAAGCATGGGCAGGAGGGGCAGAGGGAGAGGGAGAGAGAACCTCAAGCTGACTTTGCGCTGAGTATGGAGCCAGGCACGGGGCTCAATATCACAACCCTGAGATCACCACTGGGGCTCAAACTAAGAGTCAGATGCTTCACTGTGCCACCGATGAGGCCCTGATGTAATTTTCTTAAGCTGCTGCTAGTTGGAAATCACAGTAGTTCCTGTTTCTGCTCAGAGGAAGTGGTTTTGATCCCTACTTTCTCTAGTAGCTTCTTCTGGGAGCAGGGGCTGGTTTGAAGTTCTGTTTACTTACTCCAAGCATCTGTTCAATTTCTGATAACTGGTGGAGCTCTTAATGATTGCTGGCAACATGAGCCATATTGGCATTAGGCTACATTTATCTGAAAAGTGTAAGGCATAGTAAAATCCAGTTGGCCTATATGATAAAAATAATTTAAACCTTGTGCTCTGTAGATCAGCAGTGATCATATAATCGTTGATGGCAGTATCTTTGTTACTTCTGCTTTTTTCTTCGCTAACTCCTTTTCACTTATTTGTGTTTTATATTTTTTTTTGTTTTTCTTTTCTCTTTTTAAATTTTGCCTCCCTTTCTTGTAGCTAAGGCTTTCTAAAGGTACTACTTAATTGATCAGTGACATTAAATGAAGTTCCCAGCATCCATTGTGGAGCAGAACTTTGTGGGCAGGACCACAGTGGTCACCAAATGTAGCAGCCACAACTGTTTTTGGTTTCTTGAAACGCAAAGAAATCCTTCATAGATCTCAGGTGCTTCATGTCATAAACACTTTTTGAATTTTGTTTCAGGAACTGCAACCATGAATGAAGAAAACATAGATGGAACAAATGGATGCAGTAAAGTCAGAACTGGTACTCAGAATGAAGCAGCATTACTTGCTTTGATGGAAAAGACTGGTTACAACATGGTTCAAGAAAATGGGCAAAGGAAATTTGGTGGTCCTCCTCCAGGTATGGATTTATGTTAAAAAATACTGACTCTTTAATGTACATTATGTATATATATCCACAAATACCCCACACAATAGTTCTTTCCTTATAACTGCTTTAAGACCTTAGCAATCGTTTTTAGTGTTGTGAGGGAGAAGAGATAGATTATATGTGTTATGCATGTTTGACCCTTACATTTTTTTCAACTCTGCTCTTTGTTTAAGAAATAGTAAGGAAGTTTTTTTTTTTTTTTTTCAATTTTTTATTAAATTCTAGTTAGTTAACATAGTGTAATGCTGGTTTCAGGAGTAGAATTTAGTGATTCATCACTTACATATAATATCCAGTGCTCAGCGCAACAAGTGCCCTCCCTAATAACTATCACCTCTTTAAACCCCCCTGTCCCCCGGCCTACCTCTCTTCCAGCAACCCTCAGTTTATTCTCTATAGTTAATAGTCTCTTATGGTTTGCTTCCCTCTCTTTTTTTTTCCCCCTTCCCTATGTTCATCTGTTTTGTTTCTTAAATTCCACATATGAATGAAATCATATGGTATTTGTCTTTTTCTGACTGACTTATTTCACTTAGCATAGTACATTCTAGCTCCATCCATGTTGTGGCAAATGGCAAGATTTCATTCTTTTTGATGGCTGAGTAATATTCCATGTATATGTATACCACCACATCTTCTTTATCCATTCATCAGTTGACAGACATTTGGGCTCATTCCATAATTCGGCTATCATTGATAATGCTGCTGTAAATATTGGGGTGATGTGCCCCTTCAAATCAGTATTTTTGTATCCTTTGGGTAAATAACCTAGTAGGGCAATTGCTGGGTCATATGGTAGTCCTATTTTTAATTTTTTGAGAAACTTCCTGTTTTCCAGAATGGCTGCACAAGTTTGCATTACCACCAACAGTGTAAGAGGGTTCCCCTTTCTTGGCATCCTTGCCAACATTTGTTCTTTTTTGTGTTGTTAATTTCAGCCATTCTGACAGGTGTGAAGTGGTATCTCATTGTAGTTTTGATTTGTATTTTCCTGTTGATTAGTGATATTGAGCATCTTTTCATGTCTGTTGGCCATATGGATGTCTTCTTTGGAAAAATGTCTATTCATGTCTTCTGCCCATTTCTTGACTGGTTTATTTGTTTTTTGGGGGGTGTTGAGTATGATAAGTTCTTTATAGATTTTGGATACTAACCCTTTATCAGATATGTCATTTAAATATCTTTTCCCATTCTGTAGGCTGACTTTTAGTTTTGTTGATTGTTTCCTTCACTGTGCAGAAGCTTTTTATCTTGATGAAATCTCAATAGTTCATTTTTGCTTTTGTTTTCTTTGCCTCTGGAGATGTGTCTAGTAAGAAGTTGCTACAGCTGGGATACTTGAGTGGCTCAGTTGGTTAGGCATCTGACTCTTGATTTCAGCTCAGGTCACGATCAGGGTCATGAGATCGAGCCCCACATTGGGCTCCGTACTCAATGGGGAGTCTGCTTGAGATTCTCCCTCTCCCTTTGCCCCTCCCCCTGCTTATGCTTGCATGTGCGCTCTCTCTCTCTCCAAATAAATAAATAAAAATATTAAAAAAAAAAAGTTGCTATGGCTGAGGTCAAAGAGGTTGCTGCCATGTTCACTTCTAGGATTTTGGTGTTTTCCTTTCTCACACTTAGGTCTTTCATGCATTTTGAATTTATTTTTGTGTGTGGTAAAAGAAAGGGGTCCAGTTTCATTCTTCTGAATGTTGTCCAGTTTTCCCAACACCATTTGCTGAAGAGACTGTCTTTTTTTCCATTGGATATTCTTTCCTGCTTTGTCAAAGATTAGTTGACCATATAGTTGTGGGTCCATTTCTGGGTTTTCTGTTCTGTTCCATTGATCTATGTGTTTATTTTTGTGCCAGTACCATACTGTCTTGATGATTATAGCTTTGTAATATAGCTCCAAGTCCAGAATTGTGATGCCTTCAGCTTTTTCTTTTTCAAGATTGCTTTGGCTATTTGGGGTCTTTTGTGGTTGGTTCCATACAAATTTTAGGATTGTTTATTCTAGTTCTGTGAAAAATGCTGGTGGATGGAATGCCTTAATGGTTCAGTTGGTTAAGTGTCTGCCTTTGGCTCAGGACGTGATCCCAGAGTCCCAGGATGAAACTCCATGTTGGGCTCCCTGCTCAGTGGGGAGTCTGCTTCTCCCTCTGACCCTCCCCCGTCTCGTGCTCTCTCTCTCTCAAATAAATAAATAAAATCTTTTAAAAAAAGAAAAATGCTGGTGGTATTTTGATAGGGATTACGTTAAATGTGTAGCTTGCTTCAGGTAGTATAGACATTTTAACATTATTTGTTCTAACAATCCATGAGCATGGAATGTTTTTCCATTTCTTTGTGTCCTCTTCATTTTCTTCCATGAGCATTCTATAGTTTTCAGAGTATAGATCTTTTACCTCTTTGGTTAGGTTTATTCCTAGGTATCCTATGGTTTTTGGTGCAGTTGTAAATGGGATAAATTCCTTGATTTCTTTTTCTGCTTCTTTATTATCAGTGTATAGAAATGCAACAGATTTCTGTACATTGATTTTATATCTTGCGACTTGGCTGAATTTGTGTATTAGTTCTAGCAACTTTTGTTGGAGTCTTTCAGGTTTTCTAGTTGGGTTTATAAAGAAGTCAGGATTGGGTCACTGGGGAAAAGAGTACTTTAGCTATTAAAGGGGAGGTTGTTTTGGGGAGGATTTTGAAAGCAGTGAGTAGAGAGGAGTGGTGTTTATACTAGAGGCAAACCAGATGGAAACCGCTATATAAATATGATGTCCTGCCTTTCTACTAGTAGCCGGTGTAATTGATTTGCTCAGAACCCTCCAATTAACTTTCTACTAGACGTAAAATAAAATCTTGACCTCTGGCCACAGGGATGGCAACACTGACCACCACTTCAATTATGCCTCAGGTATGCGTTAGCCGTACAGGTCTGCGCGCTGTATGTTGTCCTAACGTATAAAACACTTGCTCTTTCTTAATGATATATTGTGAAGGTTTATTCCCTCATTTTTCTTTCAGGTCTCCGCTTCAACCTCATATGCTCAGAGAAGGTTTACCTGACTACCAAAAATACCAACTCTTCTGTGGCTTTTTATTCATAGCATTTTACCAATCATTGTCTCTTTTCTCTATTGAATATAAGCCTTATGAGGGAAGGGTTTTCTGTTTTGTTCACTGCTGTATCGTCAACATCTAGAATAGTGCACAGCACATAGAAGGCACAGTAAATTTGTGGAATGAATGAGTCATTGAATAGTGCATATAAATATCTTACTAGAATTTGTTTATTTTTGTCTTTCAGGTTGGGAAGGTCCACCTCCACCTAGAGGCTGTGAAGTTTTTGTAGGAAAAATACCTCGTGATATGTATGAAGATGAGTTAGTTCCTGTATTTGAAAGAGCTGGAAAGATATATGAATTTCGACTTATGATGGAATTTAGTGGTGAAAATCGAGGGTATGCTTTTGTGATGTACACTACAAAAGAAGAGGCCCAATTAGCCATCAGAATTCTTAATAATTATGAGATTCGACCAGGGAAGTTTATTGGTGTGTGTGTAAGCTTGGATAATTGCAGATTATTTATTGGAGCTATTCCTAAGGAAAAGAAGAAAGAAGAAATTTTGGATGAAATGAAGAAAGTTACGGAAGGAGTTGTAGATGTCATTGTTTATCCAAGTGCAACTGATAAGACCAAAAATCGTGGTTTTGCATTTGTTGAATATGAATCTCACAGAGCTGCTGCTATGGCTAGGAGAAAACTAATTCCAGGTAAACTTGTCCTTCTAAAGTTTATTTTTTCATATTAACCTTATTGTAAATATGGAAAAATGACAGCACCTCATAGATCAATATTTTGAAAATATATAATGCCCTTAAAGAGGTATAGAGATTTTTTGACTAAGGAAGTAAAATAAAGGGTTCTAAAAAGACAAGAAGTTGTTCCTATAAAATGAGTCATTATCTGTAATAATATACTAATTTACTGAATATATATGCTTTTATTGTGGTGTTGTTGTTTGATAAAAATCCAAAGGACAGTACCTGATTCTTTTGATAAAGGCCTTTTTTTTTTTTTTTTTAAGCTCTAACCCATTTCAGAGAGAGAGAGACAGCATGAACAGGGGGTGAGGGAAGGAGAGGGGCAGAGGGAGAAGGAGAAGCAGGCTCCCCACCGATGCAGGGCTCCATCCCAAGACCCTGAGAACATGACCTGAGCCGAAGGCAGATGCTTAACTGACTGAGCCACCCAGGCATCCTGATAAAAGTCTATTTTTGAAATGTATTTGTTCTGTTGATTCTTGAAATGAATTCCACTGTAAGTTCTGGCTGGGTTTGCCTTAGTAAAAACTTTCATGGAAGTTTTCATGTGAAAAACTAGTGTTTAACCAAATACACTGATAGGTATTTGAGTTCTTGCTTCTTTGGAGAAAGTTTTACTTAATAGTTTTTGACTTTTAATTGTTTTAATTGTCTTCAGGTTAATTTATTTTTTTACAGGTACATTCCAACTATGGGGCCATACCATTCAGGTAGATTGGGCTGACCCGGAGAAAGAGGTTGATGAGGAAACCATGCAGAGAGTTAAAGTTCTCTATGTAAGAAATTTAATGATCTCAACTACCGAGGAAACTATTAAAGCAGAATTCAACAAATTCAAACCTGGTGCAGTTGAACGAGTAAAGAAACTTAGAGATTATGCTTTTGTTCACTTCTTCAACCGAGAAGATGCAGTGGCTGCTATGTCTGTTATGAATGGAAAATGCATTGATGGAGCAAGTATTGAGGTAACACTGGCAAAACCAGTAAATAAAGAAAACACTTGGAGACAGCATCTTAATGGTCAGATTAGCCCTAATTCTGAAAACCTGATTGTGTTTGCTAACAAGGAAGAGAGCCACCCAAAAACTCTAGGCAAACCGCCAACTCTTCCAGCTCGTCTCAATGGTCAGCATAGCCCAAGCCCCCCCGAAATTGAAAGATGCACTTACCCATTTTTTCCTGGAACAAAGCTTACTCCAATTAGTATGTATTCTTTAAAATCCAATCATTTCAATTCTGCAGTAATGCATTTGGATTATTACTGCAACAAAAATAATTGGGCACCACCAGAATATTATTTATATTCAACAACAAGTCAAGATGGGAAAGTACTCTTGGTATATAAAATTGTTATTCCTGCTATTGCAAATGGATCCCAGAGTTACTTTATGCCAGACAAGCTCTGTACTACGTTAGAAGATGCAAAGGAACTGGCAGCCCAGTTTACATTACTTCATTTGGGTAAGTTTAAAAATACTTTAAATAATTATTGTAGAATATGAAACTAGGAAATACAGTTATTATAAATTACTTTGAATTCGTGGTATTTAGCATAAATGTTACCTCAATTTTGTGAATTCATGGTAAATTTTGTTGAGACTTTTCTCTCGTATAATCTTCCTATATTTAGCTTTTTAAACATTACTTAGGGGAAAATTTGTTTTTTTTTTTTTAAAGATTTTATTCATTTATTTGACAGAGAGAGATACAGCGAGAGAGGGAACACAAGCAGGGGGAGTGGGAGAGGGAGAAGCA